TGCGAGTAAATCTCGCTCTCATGTTATGCAGTTACATGATGATTTGGCAAATCTCACTCTTGGTACTTCTACCATGGACCAATATTTGCAGGCGGTCAAGATCAAGACAGATGAAATTGCACTCATCGATCGTCCTCTCTCTGATGATGAAGTGACCATCATCGTTCTTAAGGGCATCGGTTCACGCTATCGTGACATAGCGGCTTCTATTCGTGCTCGCGAATCATCTCTCTCCTTCATGGAGCTTCGTGACCTCCTCGTCTCTCAGGAGATTTATCTGCAACATCTTGATTCTCAGTAGTCCACGCTTGTTGCCACCGCCAATAATGTTGTCTCATCCTCTTCTGCGAACCGAGGCCGTGCTTCTAATCAGACATGCCAGAATCGTGGACGTCCATTCTATCGCGGCAGAGGACGAGGCCAACCGTACCAGGGCCGTGGCTCAAACAACAGAATCTGGCCCGTTCACCAGCAACCTACATTCTCACCGAACCAGTCTGTGCAATGCCAACTGTGTGGCCGCCCCAATCACATCGCACCAAACTGTCGTAAGTTCTTTCCTCAGGTAAATTATACTCAGTCTCCTATTCGTGGTGCTTCTCAGCAGTGGCTTTTGGATTCTGGAGCTTCTCATAATATTGCTGCTGATTTTGGAAATCTGAGCATTCATTCTGAGTATGACGGAACTGAATCTGTGCAACTTTTTGATGGGTCAGCCTTACCCATCTCTCACACTGGCAATTCCACACTTAAATTTGGTTCTCATCAGTTTGCTTTGAATAATATTTTATGAGTGCCTGCGGTTCATCAGAATCTTCTTTCTATTCATCGGTTCACCAAAGATAATGATGTTACTGTAGAATTTTTTCCTCACCATTTCATTGTGAAGGATCGCACAACGGGGGCGCTCCTGGCCAGAGGTCCATGCAGTAATGGAGTGTATCATATCCGTTCGTCTCACAAGCTTGGTTCCTGCTTTGCACACTCTGCTCAACTTGGGGAGAAGACAACTCGTGCTCTCTGGCATGCGAGACTTGGACACCCGTCACTTCGTATAAGTAGTTTGATTATCAATAATTTCAGTCTCCCTGTTTTGACTGATAGACATTCTGCTTTGGACAAATGTGAATCTTGCCTTTCGTGCAAATCTCATCGTTTACCATTTTATGAAACTTCATTACATTCCTCGCATCCTTTGCACTATATTTATTGTGATGTTTGGGGGCTTACAATAGTTTCTACCACCGGGTGTCGATATTATCTTCTGTTGGTTGATCATTATTCCAAGTATTGTTGGTTACTTTCTATGGCTGCAAAATCTGAAGTTCAAACTATATTTATTCAATTCAAATCACTTGTGGAAAAACAATTTGGACATACCATTAAAAATTTATATAGTGATAATGGTGGGGAGTTTGCTGTGCTGAAACCCTTCTTAGTTTCACAAGGAATTAGTTGGCTTACGATAGCACCTTATACACCTGAACAGAATGGTACCGCTGAGAGGCGTCATCGCCATATTGTTGAAACTGGGCGTACTCTTCTCCATTTCTCAGGCCTCCCTCTCTCGTTGTGGCCATTTGCTCTTGAAACTGCTGTTTTTCTTATTAACAGGATGCCTACTCCATTATTACATCACAGGAGCCCGTTCGAGCTGTTGTTTGGTCGGCGGCCTAATTATTCTCGATTACGGGTCTTTGGTTGCTTATGTTTTCCCATGCTACGACATTGGTCCACCAACAAACTTGAACCCACTTCTCGGGTTTGCATCTTCCTTGGTTATTCAACATCTCAGAGTGCGTATAGATGCATGGAGATTTCCACAAGGAACCTACTTATGTCTCGCCATGTTCAATTTATGGAGACACGCTTCCCTGCTCTAAGTGACAACCTTCTACCTTCAGGTTCTCCTACATTTGCGGAACCATCCAGACTGCTATTTGCCCCACAACCATCACTCTCGTCCCCTACTCCTACTTCCAGTACACCATCTTCCTCCCAGAACCCTCCATCAGTATCGCCCTCACCCTCACTGTCTGAAGTTGCTCCAATCTCTGCACCACTTCAGTCCCAACCTGCTCGCACACATAGAATGACCACTAGGAGTCAACATGGAATATTTAAACCCAAGCAGGTTCACTCTGTTTCCCGATATCCTTTACCTTCGGACATCGAACCAGCTACTGTTTCATACGCACTCTCTGATTCCATGTGGCGCCGTGCGATGTCTGACGAATTTACGGCTCTCTTGAAACATGAAACTTGGGAATTGGTTTCACCTCCCCCTAATGCAAATATCATTGGCTGCAAATGGGTGTTCCGCATAAAACGCAAACCTGATGGCTCTGTGGACCGGTTCAAAGCTCGTCTCGTTGCTAAGGGTTTTCATCAGCGCCCCGACATCGATTATGATGAAACATTTAGTCCTGTTATTAAGCCGGTCACCATTCGCTCAGTCCTATCTCTTGCCCTCATGCATCATTGGCCCATCCGTCAGTTGGACATCAGCAATGCATTTCTTCATGGCACTTTATCTCGTCCTGTTTACATGAAGCAACCTCCTGGTTTTATGGATCCTCAACATCCCACTTCTGTTTGTCGCCTTGTAAAATCCTTGTACGGCCTCAAGCAAGCTCCTCATGAATGGTACTTATCTTTGAGCTCTGCTCTTTTGGATTTTGGATTCTTTCAGTCCAAGGTTGATACCTCCTTATTTGTGCTACATTCTGGTTCCACTCATGCCTTTGTTCTAGTATATGTCGATGATCTCATTTTGACAGGCACATCCACTGAGCTGTTGGTGCACATCATCTCGCATCTTTCGGCTTGATTTCATGTCAAGGACCTTGGGACCCTCACCTATTTTTTGGGCATTGAGGTTGCTACTTGCAATGATGGGCTTCTATTATCTCAACACAAGTACACAGTTGATTTGCTTCGCCGTCATCATATGGAGGATGCGAAACCTCTTATGACTCCAGTTATTGCCAAGACTGCTTCTATTATCTCAACACAATCCTTTGATGCGACTGAATACCGCAAGGCCTTGGGTGGCCTCCAGTATCTCACTTTAACACGGCCTGACATTGCCTTCACTGTTAATTGACTTGCTCAGTCGATGTCCGCACCTAGCACGGCTGACTGGCTAGCCGTTAAACGGCTGTTTCGATATCTCAAAGGTACCTTACACTTTGGCCTCCTTCTTCGGCGCCCTAAACAGCTCTCTCTCACTGCATTCTCTGATAGTGATTATGGAGGCAGTCTCACTGATGGCAAGTCTACCTCAGCCTACTTGGTTTTCCTTGGTCCAAATCCTATTTCTTGGCGATCGTGAAAACAGAATGGTGTGGCTAGATCGTCTACACAGGCTGAATACCGCTCCCTAGCTTCCTCAACTTCTGAAATATGCTGGATCATTCATTTGTTTCGAGACCTTGGTATTCAACTACCCACAACTCCACGAATTTATTGTGATAATATTAGCGCAACTAGACTTGCCTTGCATCCAGTTTTGCACTCACGGCTGAAGCACATTACAATTGATATCCATTTTGTTCGTGATCTCACATCCAAAGGCCTTCTTCAGGTTACTCACATCTCAACAGTTGACCAACTTGCTGATATTCTTATGAAGCCCCTGCATAGAATGCGTTTTGAGTTGCTTCGCTCCAAAATGTCCGTGGCTGACGGCACTCCCATTTTGCGGGGGCGTATTAAGGCACCAAGTTAGGAAATAATATATTCTAATATTATTATGATAATATTGTTCTCTAGAATATTCTTCATCAGTGTATATATAGGCCTTGTATGGATGTCATTCATTATTATTAATAGTTTTCCTAATTTAAAGTTTCTATAGCCACTTCAACCAAAACTTCATAAATTTCAGCAAAATCAGCCGATTCAGACGATTTCAGTGTTACCAAACGAGCTCTAGAACTTAATTGTGAGAAAGAGTATTTTTTTTCATCGTGTGTAATGTTTTTCACTATTTCTATCCTTCACTTTTACTTTTAGTTGTATACTCCCTCCGTCCCACAATGAACTTCACAGTTTGACTTACACACATATTAAGGAAATAAACTTACCATGGGGTAAATTTTACTGTTTTGACACTGTTTGACACTGTTTTGCACTGTTTCGACACTGTTTGGCACTGTTTTCAACTGTTTGACACTGTTTTGATGTAGATTAACTTGCCATTTAAGGAAATGGGAACTTATTTCTGGGACATCCAAAAAAGAAAGTGGGAAATTCATTGCGGGACGGAGGGAGTATATACATGTGTGGAAGGAAGCTGCCGCTTTTACCGGTGTGCGTAGCTCAACTGATAGCAAGGAAGTGGCATAGGGCCTCTGCAAGTACTGGAGACATAGCCCCACTCTCTATCTATCAGATTGCGATTATAATCCAATTTACATCCTCCCAACCTGCCGTTTGGTCGGTATTGGGGGCCCTCAGGGATGATGTGTCATCCTTTTGTGGATATATACACTCTGTGACTAGTGGCGGAGCCAGAAAAACGGGTTAGGGGGGTCGAATCTCAACCTATATACAAAATGAAAATGGTGGATTGTTTTTAAACAATGTCCGCGTTGAATATTTCATATGCAGTTTAGATAAATAGACACTCGTGGGCCGTGGCAATAAGATATATCATTTTTGGTCTGTTTTTGAGTCGTGTCACGTAAGTATTGAGTGAATTATACCATATTTTTAGAATTTGGGAAAATAATCTATAGTATGCATCAAATTTTTCTGATTTTTTTTTTACTCCAGGGGGGTCTGGGGGAGGGGGGCTGGGAGGGTCTCGAGTAAACAGGGCTGAAACTCACTCAATTGAGTTTCAAATCCTTGTGTACCTAGCGGGTTTCGAACTCGAGACCTCCCGCTGGGCATCAAATTTTTCTGATTTTACATTTATATGGTTGTGATTTTGCAGAAGTCATAATTTTTTAGAGCTTTATGCTCTAAAATCGAAATATTTCAGAGCTTTATGCTCTCAAACATATTTCAGGCGTGTCGGCTGAGACCCCCTTGGCTCCGCCCGTGTCTGTGACTGATGCTTGAAATTTGTAGCTAGACTGGGGATCTTTCGTCTTGCAGTGCATGTTAGGGAAGTAAGGGCTCCAACAGTCAAACGGACCTTCTCCCCTTGTGTTTTCCCACCAACTTTAAATTCTCATTTCCTCTTCGTCTCCCACTCAATTCTACTTTTTTCATGTTCAACTAAGCTGCACATATTACTTTTAGATACTCACAGAGATAGCATTTCAATTCTCAGCTATGGATCTTCTAGCTCCTCCACCTCTCTTTCCATCTCAAACGGTAACTCCAGATTTTCTCTATTCGATTACCTACTGTTATTATATTATAAATCAATGCTCACCCAATTTCTCTCTATTATTGTTGGTGGTGGTGGTGTTGTTATTCCAGTTTTATTTGCTTTGAGTATTGTGCTACAGGAATTTGATGGGAACCCATTTTTGGATTCATACCCTAACCCTCCCTGCAAGCTTAATATCAAGGAAACTTCTGATTTAGTGACTTCATTTCCAACGGCAAATGTTAATAATGGTCCAGAGAACAGAAGGCTTCTCCAGATTTCGGCCGGAAGAACGAAGAGGAATGTGGCGGATGGCCCTTCAACCCCGGGAAGGCCCATTTTCAGCTTCAGTGTTGGGAATTTTTCCAGAAAATCTGTCCCTTCAAAGTGGGATGATGCGGAGAAATGGGTTGTCAATGGCGGCAATCATGAATCCCCTGTTGCTCAACATAATTCGTTTTTGAAATTCTCAACACAACACAAGTGTAGTAGTAGTAGTGGGTTCTGCCCCAAACAAGCCTTTCCTGAAATTTGTAGGGTAAGTGATGAAAAGGTTGCAGGACCTTCTAGTGGGGTCTCTTCTGCCACACCAGATGTACTTCTTAAAGGTAAAACACACCTTTCTTCTTTCTTCCATTTCTCTTAAATAGTTAAAGGCTAGGTAAAGCCCTATTTGCCTTTTTTCTTTGAATTTAAATTATAGTTTGATATACATGTAAACTTTTTCTAATGCATTAATTGTCCCCAAAAGTTTTACCCCAAATATATATATATTTAACAGGTAGATTCTATGGTACCCATAAGATACCATACCTTTGTTCACATGGACCAATGAGAATGTAGCAGTTGAATCATTTAAATCTAAATTAAAAATGATAAAGTGGTGTGGTCCAATCAAATTAATGGTAGGTACGGTACCCCATTTTTTAGAAAGGTACCGGAGTTGTCACCGAAAACTTAAAACTGCTATTGGATAATGACTCTCTGTTTCAGGAAAGGTATTTTCAAGTGCCAAACCAAGAAAAATCAGGAAAACATTATCTATGAAAACATTTTCTTATAATAAATTGGACCCTAGCACGCTAACGGTCTAAGAGCTCATATTCTAACAATAAAATCGGTTGAATCTCTTTAATGTGTTAAATCAATGAAGTTGTGGCTGAATAGGATGCATTTTTTGTATACAAAGGGTACACCATATTTGGATGATATCAACAGGGAAATTGGTAATCTTCAAGCAGTCAAGCTTCAAGGCTGCATTTTTTGAATTGTAAAATAATTATATTTAAAATATTTTTTTAGTAAAATAAAGAAAAATTATATGAAAACGTTTTTTTGCAAGGAAAACACTAATTTTTCTTCTTCACCAAATAAAACAGAAAAATGGGTTGCCAAATTGACACTAAGACCTACATTATACTCTCTTAGAAACTTGAAACTTAAAACTGTTTAATAAAACGAGTTCTTGTTTCCGATGCCTTGTAACTTGTAAGAGAAATCAGAAAACACTATCCATGAAAATATTTTCTTATAAACAAACCAATTCTAGGACTTGCACTATATTCCCCATCATCTCCTCCCCCCTCCAAAAAAAGGTGTAGTACTAAAGTTGAAAGTTATATGAACAAGAATTCATGTGTAACCTCTATTGATTGATGAGTCTTTTTGGTGAATGCAGATAAATGCACAAGTGAGGTTGAAACTATAAGAACTCCAGATTTTAGGTCCATGAAAGAAGGGTTCCTATTTGGAAACATGAGTGAACAATGCACAAAAGGATTATTTCCATTTGGGGATAGTAATTATGTGAGTGGGATCAAATGCATGAAGAACAACACAACACAACCAGATATGTTTCTTGAGGCTATTAACCACAGAGACATTGGGACAGAAATGACACCTATGGGAAGCTCCACCACCTCAAGATGCCCCACGCCGTTCAAGAGCTCATCACCTGTTCGGTACAACACTCCTGCCAGTAGATCTGGACCGTTGGCTCTACCCAACGACTCCAGTTCCTCCAGCACAACACTAGATATCGCACAACTCCAAGAGTACCATTTAGCAAAGCTACATGTTGGGAACGGCCAGCATGCTTCTGTTACATCAAATTATTGGAGCTCAAGAGAAGAGGAAGAAGATGATGTATCTAAGAGTTTGAGACACTTCGAAATGAATACTAATAACGAGTGTGGCATCGGGTCAAAAGTAGACCCGTGGGAGGAGGAGATGAAGACCAAGAACTGCCTAAGGTAATAGAATCATATACCTTACTCCTAGGTAGCATTTGGTAAGCCGTAATGCAAAGCAATTTAATAAAACATACATTGCAGACCCTTGATTACATTTCATAACATCTTACCAAATTAAACCTTCCATCTTTTACTTCGTATCTTTTTATTGTGGGAGGATAATAGAACTCAGGGTTGAGTTGTGGTCGCTCAACTTGGCCGCCATATGGTGCTTGGGCCAAATCACACTAAAGATAGAATCTAATTTATTAGCCAATTCCACCCAAAGCCTTATTAGTTTACCATTTTCTCTTTACTTGCCCGGTATGAAAATCTATTGGTTGTTGTTTCAGCAGGTACAAGAGAGAACTAGCCAAAATTCAAGCTTGGGTGAACCTCCAAAGTGCTAGAAGTGAAGCTCAATCTAAAAAACTTGAGGTTTTTTTCTTTCCCTAATACTCAATATTGTCATAGATCGATTCATGTTAGCCGACCCTAAATTCTTTTGGGATTAAGGCTTGGATGTCGTTGTTGTTGCATCCAACCATTTCCTTGCTCATAACAAATTCAACTTATTCTGTCATTTTAGTCTTCTTTTACCTTACCAAACACACTGTAGTTAATTGCGTTGTTATGTATGTTAATGATGAAAGTGATATATCATTGATTATATTATGTACATTAACTTCATAAAGTGTTGATTATACATGTGATATTATTATTCAACTTTCATAGACTGTCTTCATCGAGCCCCACTACCTTCTATGCTTCTACACTATAAAAAACCACTATCTTTTGTATGACTTTTCACATGCATGTTCTGCTTAGAATAAAGTAAATACTTTATTAGAGGCTCAGGAGGAGGAATTTCCAGGAAGAAAGCAATAGAATTCAGCATTTTCTAGTCTCATTCATAACAGTCAGGGGCGGATCTAGCATTAGCATTCAGCAGGGGCCAAATTTAATTGAAGTGTTAAAATATAGTATTCCTTTGAATAATTACTTATGTTCTTAAATAAATGCAACATGTTGAATTTTACACTATTCATATATTATATTTTTATTACACTTTATTTTTTAATGAATTAATAACTTTTTTTAAAATATTGTTCAACTTGTCTAATTGTAAATTTTCAAAATCTTATATTTATTTTTATACTAATAGAGAATAATATATGGAGTATATTACTGATCAAAGTTGTGCATCAACAAATGTGACAAGTAAACTGTTGCATTTACTTAAGAACAAATGTAGTGTATATTTAATAAAACTTATTTTCATGTGTAAAATAACATATGTTACAGCATAGATCTCTAAGACAAAAATAAATATTATGAGAATAAGATTTTTTGTCAAAATCAATTACATAAACACCTCAAACCCATCATTATTGAACTTATTTTCACCTCCAAACCTAATGAGTTGAAGATATGCTCTCCATTGCAAAACAAAAAATGTTATCACTGGGAATCGAACCCAGGATCTTCATGATACTACGCCGACATGGACATGATATACCACCATCTCACCATTTTCGTTTTTGTTAAGCTTTTGACTGTTATTATTTTTATACCATTTCTACACAACATTAAATATATCAAAATAAATATATATACATACTAATTTTTTTATTTTTTTGAGCATGGGCCTAGGCCCTCCCTGGCCCATAGCTAGATCCGCCCCTGATAACAGTTGCTTTGGAGTTTGGAATATGCAAACCCATGTGGGCATTATTTTCATTATCATAATAATTATGATAGTAATAATTACCATGTATAGCAACAACTATTATGTATAAACTAATCAATGATGACGAAAACACTGCAGGTGAAAATTCAAAAGATGAGATCAAAGATGGAAGAGAAGTTGATGAAGAGAATGTCAACCGTTCACCGAAAAGCCGAAGAATGGAGGGCTGCAGCTCATCTGCAACATGAAGAACATATGAAGAAAGTGAGTGAAGAAACACACAAGATGGTCAACACGAAAAACATTAATAATGTTTATCGTATCAATTCATCTTGTACTTGTATCTCCTTTCCCTGTAATAAGCATCTCATGTAGAAATTTTCACTCATATCCAGCGACATAGAACACCCCTTTTGAGGTGACCGAAAGATAATAATTCATTAATACCCATTTACAAAACTTAATACTAAAAAAATTCACAACAATACAATGAAAAAAATTGGCTTATCGAACACGTATCTTAATTAAAATGAGACCTTCATTTGTGGGACAGAGGAAGTAGCAACGACTTACCCAGTACTTATGACAAGTTAAAAATGACATTGAACATGAGAAACAATTATTAGAACGTTGAGATTATGTACATGATTTTTTGGGTGGAAAATTAGGATAATGAATTAATGAATGACCTTAGAAATATTCCTTTGGGTCAAGAGAGTCCCAATGATTTCAAATATTATGGTTGTTAATGAGTACAATCAGTTTTTATTTTAAATAGTTGGACATAGAGATGTATAGTGAATCTATATATCTATATCTAATTATCTATATCTATATCTATATATTAACTAAGTGAACTAACTCCAATACTGCTACAGCATCTGGTATTTCCAGAAAGCGAAATGCATGCTTCCTTAACCATACCTGGTATCTGCTACCTTCTTGCTTTTCGGCACTTGGTTCTCACTCTCCAATCTGATTGAATACTTTCTTTTAAATGAAATCTGCCTTAAGCGAGGAGGGGATCCGAATGATATTTGCTCAAAATAATTAAGGAGGGTATCCTTTGTGCACGAAAAACCTCTTGGCGACCTTGAAGATTCTTTCCCAACCATCAGTATTGTATTTTGTTTCTCTTCACCATTCTTCAACTGCACAATGAAAAAAGCAAAACAAAAACAACCAAAAGAACATTATATATTTATATACAATTGTGTTTGAACTGACTTCTAACCTACACTGTATTTTTTGTTGAGTGTACATCTTTGGGTTTGGTCTCCAGTTAACATTAACTGCTGTGATAATGTTTATTTATTTATTTATAAATTTACTTGATTATTCTCAGCTACATTGCATTATTGTCGTTAAGAGAGGAGGGGATGTTTTTGTTACTGAGGGAGTGTGGGGGGTCATATCTGAGTTTTTGTGCAAGAATAATGCCTCCAGGAGTTGTTGTTTTGTTTAGTACGTTTTTTTCCTTCTTATTTTGCTGTTTTGCACAACAAATACATTAAATGGGAGATAAAATGATAATATCTTCATTTCTTTATACTTCTAAACTGGGGTCCTGGCATGTATTTAAGGGCTTTAGTAAAACTGAAGAGTGAAGAAAAGGAAATTGGTATAATTCAAATACTAACAACTAAAATGACTGAATGAGTTGTGCTTGGTGAGGTGATTAAAATATATATTGCACCTGAAATAATTGAAGAAAATGTAGTACAATATTAAAAAACGTACTACCAAGGAGGAAATGAGAAATCAAATGAGTTACTTCTTCCTCTCAAATCAACTAATTGGAGGTTTAGTTGTTTGGGATTACAATTATTTATGTGAGTGGTTGGAAACCTGATGGATTCCTGATCTAGAAGGCTAATCGTAAGAATTGGAGCTAAAATGGTGAACTCTTGTAGTCTTTTCCTACTATTTGACATTGCTGAAATTTTCTCTCTTCTATGGGTAGTCTATAGCTTTAACGGGCTACTGGTTTTTGTTAAATTTTGTTTTAACTTAACCAAAAAACACATGTAATCTATCTATCTTAAATGTTTCTTATTTACTTCTCTATTTAATTTGATCCTATTTTCCAAGTTTCTTTGTTAGTTTCTCTTCTATAGGGTGGATGCATGGAGGGTGATTCCACTTATCTGAACTACATTTACAATCTACATGTGAATGAATATATAACATGAAAGAAACTTTGACATGTATCAATCTTCTGTTTTACTGTTCTTTATAACATTTCTTTGTAAGTTTTTATTTTTTGTTTTTTATTTTACATTTCTTTGACATGTATCAATCGTCTGTTTTACTGTTCTTGGTTCCTATTATATTCTTTTATCAATTTAAGGAATTGAGTTCTATGACCTGTATCAGGTTAAGATACTATGCTTGCTTGGAAGAAAAGTTTTGTAGAATGATTGTCTTTACTTCACTACAAATTTAATAAAAGGTAACATATTTATTTTTTTCATTTTCCTGAGCTAATGCATTAGTCCTTTATGAATACGAATATATATTCGTGATTCATGAGATTACTCAGATTGAATTAGTTTTCAAGTTTGGTTTAGATCTTTACATCACTATAAAGCTGGAATGTTGTTATATACTCATTAATGTTCACATAATTAGATCAGATGGGGCTCAAGGGGCTGAGGTCATCAAGTGTACCGTGTATTATGAGATGTGTTTTGTGGTATTAGGTACGACATAGTGAGCAACACCCTTCAGGACCAAAAAAGAAGCTTATTGAAAAGAAGAAATTCAATCTACCATCAATACCCTTCTGAAGGGTCGTCAATATGATATGATTACCGCAGTTGACGCTCCACTTACATTGGCGGCTACCTCGCTGTTGTTTGATTGTGAGTTCTTCCATCACAATTTTTTACACGATGTCCAACAAATATCTTAAGTCATCCATATACCCTTAATTATGATAAACAATGAGAATTAAAAGTTTAACTTGAGAAGCTAGTGAAAATACATGGTTATACAATTTAGTTTAGATTAGATACATGTTTAGTTAAAAAGTGGACTTTTTTCTTTTATCCAGTTTTTTTATGTAACACGTTTAACATTGTTAACTAAATGCAATTTTTTCTTTCACTTTCTATCTTGATTTGAAAACTTTAAAAGGGAGAACTATTAAATAAGTCCTCGAACTTTCATAAAAAGTGCAAATAAGCCTTTTTATAAGAGGCTCTGTCCGGCCGTCGCCATTTGGAGCGTTATCCGGTGGAATATTTTGAGCATCTTCTTTATTAAGTCTAGTTTACTCGGATAAGTTAACCGCACAGTTAGGCAACACATTATATTTCAGAAAATCATTTGACTGCCTTGTAGATTGAATTTTTAGTTGAAATTTGATATGAGTATATTTTGAACCTATTTGTGGGGTTCGGATGATTACCAAAAGGGAGTATTTTGGTGTATATACAATTTTAATAAAATGCAATTAAATTTATGTCATATATTTGTATAAATAAAACAAATAGCCTAATTAACTTATTTACAAGGATAAAAACAAACAGTTACGTATGTTAACTTATTCACAGACGAGCTATTTATTACCAACTAATCCCAAATATGAATGTTATTATATTTCAAATCCCAAAGGTGAATGCAAATGAAATACAAACATGCTATTCACCTTAATTCTATTAATAAAAAATATTAAAAAACAGATTTTGAATATTTGTAATGAGATGAGTTGAACAATATTTTTTTAAAAAAATAATATTCATAAAATAATAACGTAAATTATAATCAAAGTAGAGCATATGAGATTCCATTTTGTGCTAATAATAAGACAAGAAAATGATAACGTGTATGGTGTAATAATGCAAAAAAACAACATACGACAAAGTAGAAGTACTTATTTTTTGTATTTTAATTAGGCAGTTAGAGAGACGGGTCATGACTGACCCCAACCGGCATCCAAACTTGCCCTTCCAAGAAATTTTGGACAGTGTATTTCTCGGCCTCTTCCGGTGTGAGACTGGGCCTGTACCCGGCCCATTTCACCCTTCGACCCACACTTGCGCCCGGGCCTCTGTTCTGATACTCAGCGTAGTTAATAGTGGCCGGCGGTAGAACGCCGGTGACCCACGCGATCCATCCTTCAGGTTTCAAGAAGCCATCAATGATGGATTGCATGATGACGGTGGTGGAATACTCTTTCCACGGCCGCCCGAGGTAAGTATCGGCGGTGACATTATCAAACGGGGTAATGGTACACTTCTGAATGGAAATGCCGGTGCTCTCATTCGGGTCTTTCTTCCCCTGAGCTGTGATGGTGTTGAATTGATTCGCCATTGGCTGCCGCGGCATGATTCTGCACTTCTGGAATACGGAGGCGGCGTTGCCGAAGATGAAATCGATGGTGCCGATGATGTCGCATTCCCGGTAGAATTGCCGGTTCGAGTGGGCGTAGAGCGTGTCCTGGAAGGCGTCGAAGGCGCACCGGTAAAACACCGATTGGTCCGATCCCGACCGCATCGCCACCGCCTGGTGTTTTTCCGGCCCGGCCGTGTTCTTGATTGTCATGTCTTTGGCCACAAATCCCTTGCCCGCTGCGACTGCATTATTGGACAATAATTATTGTACAAAAACAATTACAGGTAATTTTTTTCAATTTTGTATAGATTATCACTATTTTGTGGCAGAGGCATACTTAAGGTTGAAAGTTGAACCACATCTTATCTTATTATAAATTGAGAGTAGTAAGTCCGGAAACCGGTTCGGTTCTTATATTAAATCAATGAAACCATTACAAAAACTTAACTAATAAAGTCGGCTCGGCTCATATATAAAAATTCAAGAACCTTTATCAATCTTAATCAATACTAAACAGTTTCGGATCTTGCTTTTATGGTTCCTAAATTTTGTTTTCCATCGAAAAATATGCACGATTTACTTTCCATCACACAAAAATGTCGAAATGTCAAAACAAGGAATAAATACTCTTTGAAGCTTTAATCACTTCAAACATCAATTCTAAACTTAATTTAGTAAACACTTGATAGAATGGTATTTTTTAATTTTCATTTATAAATAAAATAGAAAAATCATTGTTATTTTTTTTCATTTAATTTTCATTTATGGTTTGATGTTATTTTTAAAAAAGGTTTGATATCATAGTAGTAAAAACAAGACATCTAGTTCAACTACAGCCAAACTTAAAAATCACATTGTATACCACATACAAATATAAATGTTACGTAGTACTCCCTCCGTCCCTTAAAACATTGCCATTTTTCCTTTTTGGGACGTCCCAAAAAACTTTGTCATTTTCCCTTTTAAGCAATTATTTTGTGTTTCCTATTATTTCTCTCTCCTCTGAACAAACCTCAACCACCCAGTTTTTACTTTATTATTCTCCGTGTCGGTCAAACTTAGCAAAGTTTTAAGGGACGGAGGTAATATTATATTTCAAACCCCAAAAGCACTATTTATAATAAATCTCATAATTGCAATCATCTTGAATACCGTGAAGTAAACATATATGAAACCAACACATATTTATATGAGTTACTTTTATAATTATGAAATTTAGGTAATGGAACATGATTTAATTTGTAAAAATGAGTTTAGTGTATTCATCCTCGCATACAATAGAGGCCGTCACCTTCCTCACAACTCTGCTGATTCTGCTCCCGCTCTTTCGAAAATGCCGTCACACAAGACCTTCATCATCAAGAAGAAGCTTGCAAAGAAACAGAGGCAGAATCGACCTATTCCATACTGGACAGGGTTGTAAATGAATCGAATAATTTATGCTCGATTCGGGATTCGAATTCGTATAAGACGATCCGAATTCGAAAAATTCAAATAAAAATACAAATAAGAATACTAAATTTGATTCGAAATGTTATCAAATACAAATACAAATATCAGTATATTCGATTCGAATGTTAATCAAATATATTCGATTAATAATAGTGATACTATTAATAATAATAGTAGTGGTGGTAATACTAAAAATAACTTTCAAAACCTAGCTATGCCCTCAAAGTGTAGCCTATATATACATTTACGTATACACAATTCAAGTCAATTTGTAATAAATCAGAAGTATCACGAGGAGTAAGGGTTGTAAATGAAACAAATAACTTTAATTCAATTCGTGAGTTCGATTCATCAATTGTGATTTAAATTTGAAAATATAGAAAATAAATACAAATACGAATCTGATGTTTGGTTCAAACATCTTTCAAATATGAATACCAATAGTTATACATTTGATTCGAAGAATAATCAAATATATATTCGTTTATACATAAATAAATTAAAATCAACTGTCTAGTATATTTATGTACATCAACTACCTACTATGTGTGTGTAATATAAACTATATATCTAGTGGTGTTTTTTATTATTAACAATGCTAAATATCTAACATAAAATTAGAGTCGTTTGACTTTGATATATACAATTATCAACTTATTTCACAAATTGTAGGTATAATCTCTAACATGTGTGAGTTAGTGGTTATTTCGAAAACTTTGAATATATTTATGTATAGTGATCATAAAATTGATTCACTTTAGTATATTGTGCACAACCTAAAAATGAATCAATCAATTAAAATTTTAAACAAAAACGAAATGTCACAAATTAAATTCTAAAACCGCATATTAAGTCATAGCATGCATTTATAACATAAGAAATGCAGGAAAGTTGGTTTAAATGATATTTGACTAATATTTAACTTATGATCAAATCGATTCGATATTCGTATATGATTCGTTAAGTATTCATATTCTTAAACAAATACAAATACAAATCAAAATCAATATTCGTTTCATATTCGAATTCAAATTCGTATTCGAAAAAATTAAACAAATACAAATACAAAATCACAATATTCGATTTGATTCGGTTCGTTTACAATCCTAATACTGGATTCGCATGAGGACCGACAACACGATCAGGTACAATGCTAAGCACAGACACTCGCATTGCACCAAGCTAGGGTTCTAAGATTGATGTAACCTCCATGTGAGACATTTATGAAGAAAAATGAGCTTCATCTTTAAAAAGTAGTTATCTATTTAGAACTTACTGACTATTGTTTCCTAAAATTTGATACTCCCTTTGATATGGGACACTGTTTGGATTTACTCAATTCAAAATATGGATGTGAGATTTGCAGTAAAAAAAATTCTCCCATACAATAATTTATAGATAATGTTATGTGGCTAAATGTCATCTATTATATTAATAGGGTTGTCTTTTAGGAGGTGTACTAGGTGTTTGGCACTGGGACCCACTCTTGTATAGGGTCCAAAAATTTAGAATGTAATATTAGTTATAGATTCATTTTTCTCGATGTTATTTATTATTCAAGATTTCAAAAGTTATATAGCTTTTAGAAATTCTAATTTGTATACTTTAAATATCACAAAACTTATATTTCATTGAACTGTCTAGTCTATTTGTAATTCATTGTTAAATTTTGTATTATTTTTTGTTTTAGAGGGCCTCAATTTGTCTTTTGGAACCGGTCCTCCAAATTAATATCATTATTATTACTAGTATTGTTATCATCATCATCATCATTATTATTATTATTATTATTATTATTATTATTATTATTATTATTATTATTATTATTATAGTATTAATAGTATTAATATTCATTTCATTTCATTTCATTTCATTTAATTTCATGTGATAAACACACGACATTCAAAAATCACCGACCAGCAAACTAATCCAACCAAAACCGAAAAACTAACGAAATCACACGCGGGTTGGTTTATAGTTGGGTTAATTATCAAAATAAGACTAAAAGTCACTCACTTTGCACAAATATGACAAAAAAATAAACTATGTTTTCATAGGACTAATTATGTGTGTCTTGGACAATATACCCGGCCTTATAGCTATTGAAAAATATTAATTCATAATAAAATAATAAAAAATAATAAAAATTCGTAACAAATACTAAAAAAATAATAAAAATGTTTAGAAAATAATAATTCATTTATTTTTTTATTTTCAAAAAATATAAAAAAAAAAAATAATAACTCAAAAAAAAAAAAAACCGCCGCCTCTGCACCTCCACCTCCAGTCACCAGGGAAAAAAAATGTCAAGTTCATTACGAATGCCATATTTATGGTAGAAAACAATGAAAATGTTGGCATTCTCGAGAAATATGCCATGTTTTTAACATTTTCAGAAAAAATGGCAGTTTTTAGGAAAAATGACATTTTTTTCACCGGCCTCAGATGGTGGTGCAGTGAGGTAGTACAGACGGTAGGAAAGACATCCATATTTTTTTAATGTTTTTTATCTAGTTTTACTATTTTTTATTAATTTTTGAAAAAAAAAATTATTTTTTTAAATTTTTTTTAAACATATTTTATAAATTTTTTAATTATTTTCCTACGAATTTTTGATTTTTTTTCGAATTTATTATGAATTAAACATTTAATTAACTCATATTTAAAGGAATGGTAAGAATAGAATGAAAAATAGGTATGTTTCCAATAGGACTAATATGGTCCTATTTTGAAAAGAAAAACATAGTAAATCTTATTTTGAGTTTTTGCCATAGTTTAGTCAAATTTGGAATAATTTCTATTTAAAGTTTGAGCTTCACACTCAAAACCGATGACTAGGCTGACCAAAGTAAAATGAAATCAACTAAAACATACTCCCTCCGTCCCACAATGAACTTCACAGTTTGACTTACACACATATTAAGGAAATAAACTTACCATGGGGTATATTTTACTGTTTTGACACTGTTTCGACACTGTTTGGCACTGTTTGGCACTGTTTTGCACTGTTTTGACACTGTTTAGCACAGTTTTGCACTGTTTGACACTGTTTTGATGTAGATTTACTTGTCATTTAAGGAAATGGGAACTTATTTCTGAGACATCTAAAAAAGGAAAGTGAAAAGTTCATTGCGGGACGGAGGAAGTAGCTTAGTTGAAAGAAACTAGCCTATAACTAACCTAGTCGATTTTATGGTAAATCGACAACACATAAGTAACCCATAGGCGGGAACCTACCCAAACTAACTAAAGAAATTTTTTGTATCTGATACTCCTTTCATCCCATAAAATTCTTCCTGATTTGATTTGGATCAGAGTTTAAAAAATTGAGACATAAGTAAAAATGCATGACTGTGATTGAGTAAGAAAACGATAAATAGATGATAGTCTCATGAAACTTTTCAAAAAAAATGAGAAGAATTTTTTGGGACATCCCAAAAAGATAAGTAAGAAAAATTTTAATTTTAGGGAATGGAGGGAGTAACTAAGTTCTTAATAAAGATTATACTTTTTTCTTTCTAAAGGTATGATTTATTTACTTCTAACAGGAGAAATCTCATTGCTTTTATCCTATAATTAGGACAGAATAAGTCCATCCTGCTTTGAGAGTACAACACTTCATGAACTTTATCCATATTTTATTCTCATATGGACAATTTCTCAAAATTAACCGATAACACAGTTCATGATTTTACACTCCCCTTAACCAAGGCGACCAAAATAAAAAGTCTAAAGTAATACTTCATCCATCCTTATCAATTTTCATAAAATAAAAATTATATGAAATTGT